GGTTGCAAACAGGCTCTGTAAAGTTTTCTTGACAATTGCACTATATTGCATGCAGAAACATTCACGTGCACAGCTCTCAACTTCAGCCAAATTTCCTTTGCAGTCTTTAGATTTGCAACATTTAGAAACTGTTCATCATCTAAATTCAAGATGAGATAAGCCATGGCTTGATCATGGCTGTTCTGATCAGCAGCTGCAAACACTTGTGGGGGATTTTCTACAATATACCACAGCTCTTTTGCTTTCAGCAAACATTCCATTTTTGCTGCCCAGATAATGTAATTCTTTTGCCCTAAACGAGGTACAGAGCTTTCCTTAAATTCCATTGCAGCCATTCTGCTAATTCTGCCTTCCAGCTTTAAATTACAATGCAGTCCTTAGTAAGCTCTGGGCCCATAACCTGTTAGAGAATTTTAATTTCTCTGTTGGTAAAAATAAATCAGAAGCTCTCACAGTTGACTGCATTTAGCTGATTCAAATAAACTTTTTATCTTCATATAAAAATATTTACAATACCATATATTCTTCTTCATAGCAACATAGCATAAATGAAGACTTCTTACAGCAGAGACAGACCAGAGACCTGAAACTGAAACCCAGCTTCTAACTCAATACCCTTTTGCACAGACTCAGTAGCACTTTCTTCACATTGGCTGACTGAGTTACCACATGACTCTTCCTGCTCATGAATATTCCAACACTATCTGTATTTCTTGGCTCCTTCATTTGTCCCTGGTACCCAATACTCAACTCTTTCACTGGATCAACTGCCAATTTCTATCTCCCATTCTTTTCATTAAACCTTCTGTTTCTCTATTTTGCAAGGGAAATTGGAGAATAAGCATGATGTATCAAAAGGCTGGGAAGCCACCGCCCATCTATGTTTCCAGCAATTGTGCAGTTTTCCAAAAACACTTGCCTTTAAAGTTAGTTTTACTTGCTTTATATCAAACATTGTATCAATGTGGGTCTGCAATTCTACATTTTTAAAGAATCAATGAGCAGTCAACATAAAAGCATCACAGAAATTAAGGCTGTGTTGCATTAGGTTATTTATAATTAAATATCAATTAGAAAAAGATACATTCAATAAGCTATTTCATTTTCTCCTCATTACAACTTTGTAGAGTATGTTATATCAGTCATTTTCTGGTTGTGGACTAGTGCTGGAAACAAACAAAATGCTCACATTTTTGTAATACTTGTATAAATTATTAAATGAGATTGGAATATAATTTCAATCTAAAAAGTGCTTAATTGGGAGACCAAAGTAGTCTTGCACGGTGACAGTTTTCTGAAAGATATTCATGGGATTTGTAGTTGTACAGTTTAAGGTAAAAAGACATGGTCCACTGCCCCTTATTGTTACCCTGAATTATAACTTCTAAAATAATCACAGTATAATTGCTGCATATTTATTTGCATCCAAAGATGCTGGGTCTTTGAATAAAGGCAACAGTGAAAAACACTTGTTCTTGAAACTTCAGACATTAAATCTGAGCGGAATAAAACGAGGAAGTATCTGCAGGTGTAATCTAACCTGAAAACTGAATTCCCAGAATGCAAGCGAAAGTTGAACCAATGAATGACTAGAAAAGCCAACGAGGCAGACTCAGCTACTAAGGAATCATGCCTCGGAAGCGTCTTTGGCAGAACCATCGACCCCTCCAAAGCAACTTCATCCCATCTCCAGACTTAACCTCGGAGGAACAAGCTTCAGAAGCTATTTGTACCGTAAAGATAACAGTTTGACACACACCCACATCCGAAAAGAACTTCAAAGCTGCGCAAAGATGCAACAGCGGAGCTCAGCAGGAAAAATAACCACCGGAGTCAACCTGGTCAGCAGGAACAGGCGTCTTTTCTCCCCGAGGTTGTTGAGCGGTGGAATTCGAAGCCCCAATCAGACTCCGTTTCAACCCTACCTAAACTTGACCTCGGGATCCGAGTGTAGAGTTTCAGAAGACCGTAAAAACATCCAAACGCAAGCCGAGAACAACTAAAGGAAGAGCGACTTAAATTGTTCCACATCAGAGCGGAGGAAGTTCCGAAAGACCAAAGGAGCCGAGATTCAAATCGCCGAAAGCCCCATTTTCTCCCCTGGCCAATTCTAGCCCTCCTCGTTCTTTGGAGGCGCCCAAAGCACTCCTTGCCCGGCCCCATCAGCCGGCCCCTACCTTGGCCTCGAAGCCGATGCCATGCTGGAAGGCGTCGTCGTTATGCAGCGGGATGCGCAGGTCGTGCCTGTCGTCTACTAGGTTATATCGAGACCTGACCGGGGGAGAGGCTCCCACCGGCATGGCGAGGGAAAGCGAGCGGCTCCCCGAGCAGGCTGCGCGCCAAGCTGGCGACGTTCTGAAGGCACGGTAGCGGCACTAGCCACCTCCTCCGCCTGATCCGAAGCGGGGCGGGACCTGGTTGGAGGCGGGATCTGGGCTTTCTCCCGGTGGTGTCCCAAGTTCAGCGGGACTTCCCGGGAAGCAACGGCAGTGCGTTCCCGGGGCATGCGCTAAGCCGGGCGAAGGGGAAAAGCCGGGGCCCGAGAGTCCGGTGGGAGGGCTTTCTCTTTCCTACGAGAATCCAATGGCGAAGCAGGCGGGGCGGGACTGGAGAGGAATCTGGTCGTCGCGCTTTCTGTGGATACAAGTCCACACGCCGTAAAGTGAGGCCTCAAGGTTCGCCATGGGAAACTATTGGGCGATGAAAGTAGCTTTGTGTTTAGCTTTGTGGAAAAGAGGGGGGAAAGGAAAAATAAGTGGAAGAAGGCCGGCCCAAGCTATTCTTTTTTCAACATATTTATATAGTATCGGCCACAGTAGGGAGACAATTCTTCAAATTTGCTGGAGAGGCACAAATAGAAAAATATCATCCGGATTCCCAAAGAAATTTAAGGAAGGAAGCAATGCGATTGTACAGTTAAGTCTCTTCTGGCAACATCTTCAGTCCTACACCATCCGCTTTCCTTGAAGCCATCTTCCATTCTGTCGGCTAGCTATTTCAGCAGTTGCGTTGCCATTAGAGCTGGCGGCAGGAGGGAGAAGGCTGTACATAAAATGTGTTTTCTTTTAGAGCAGCAAAAGGAAACTTAGGTCTGTTATTGTTTTTTCCAGGCAGTAATGATAATTTAACCCGCAGAACATTTTGCTCAGACAGCATATCCAGTCCACAGTGTTAAAATCTCCAGTCCCTGAGCCTGCAGAAAAATATGCTGGCCACATTTCAAAGAGTCATAATTTTGCTTTGGCAGTGAGACAGAAGAGATGTTCTGTTCACAAGGAAAGTGGAGGAGGCTAAAGTGGGTCTTTTGGGTGTCAATTCTTCCATCCCATGGAGTGATTACTTAAGATTCATTCCCCCCCATGTACTATATGGAATGGCAGTGTTCCCCCATTTCCCTCAGGGCTAGATGGACAACTTTAGGGAAGTGGGGCTGGAAGCTTCCTTCCAAACTCCCTTCTCCTGATACTTAGAATAGAGAATAACAGAGTTGGAAAGGACCTTGGAGGTCTTGTAGTCCAACCTCCTTCTCAAGTAAGAGACCTTATACTTTTTTGATTGTACACAGGATAGGAAAATTGGTGTCCAGAAAGACTGGTTGCTGTTCGTTTCCCATCCTTCCAAGATCCTGCAGCCTGGAGATCTGCTGCCAGATTTGGCAGAAGTGGCAGGACACTGCAGGAGAGCCACTGTCAGAAGGAAATCCTGCAGAACAGTAGCTAAGAATCAGATCACCAGGACAAGACAGGTCCTAACTTTGTATTGCAAGAAGGTGGTCCAAATGGCAAAATTTGTATCTGCAGGAGATAGAAAAGATTAGGATAAAAGAAGGTTGTTTATTTGCTAATTTCCAGCAGCAGGAAGTTTGTTGTAAAGCATGAAATAGAGAAGAGCCATGCCCAAAGACAATATAGTCTGCCTAAACGGGCAGAGATCAGTAACTGGACCAAACTTGACTGAATCATTCTGTCAGGTCCTCAAACTCTTATTCTTTACCTTGCATATATATCCTACTTTGGGGGCCTGCCATTCTGTTGGGGGAGGGGAGCTTTGCATTTAATTTGGGATAATTTCGCTTTCTACTCTCTCTTGCTGCCTCCATCCCCTTGAGAAAGGAATATGTCTCCCTTATCAGGGAGACGGTTACAAAGAAACTAAACTGGAGAAGATCTTGAGATGCACGCCAACTGTGCCAGTTAACCGCTCTGTGGATTGGCTGGATTTCAAATGGACATTATGACTTTGGTGGGAGGAGGAATATTGCTTGCTTAACTATACCATTTCGGCGGACTTTTCCCCAGATCTTACCTTGACTTCCCTACTGTCACTGACCCCTAATAAAAGTATCCTGTTGAGACAATGCCTGTTTCAAGAGTTCTGCTTTCTTGGATGGTTAGTTGAAGTGGGTCCTTACATAAGGCAAGATCTGCATAGTACTCAACCCAGAGAAGCTACTGCCTTACCGGGGGAGTCGCAAACAATATCTACATGGAGGAGTTCCAGGCAGAGAAATGGTCCAAAGATCTCTGCCTGAAAGCAGATGAAAGCCTCTCCAGGGACCTGGAGGAAGCTGGACCTTCTGGTGAAGAAGACCGAGCCAGATGGTCACTTGGAGTCAGTAAGAAGGAAGGATGGGAGGAAAAAAAACCCCAAAGTTACCCTGACCCGAGGAGGAGGAAAAAAGGCAAAGAAAAAGAATCCAGAACCTGCCCCTCCTGATAAAAGATGGAGAGAAAGAGGAGCCGAAACCGAGGCCAATGGAAGCTGTGATGGAGTACATGAAAAAGATCCTTGATGAATTTAAGATGCAGTTGAAAGAAAGCCGTGAGTTGGAAGAAGAGGAGGAGGAATCAGAGGAAGATGAGCCAGAGGTTCCCGAGATGGCAGCACAGCGATGGGGCTGTCCGTCTGGAGCCAGAGGCAGAGCACCTCAGCCGGCTGAGGTGAAACCGATCCCAATCAGGGTGAAGTTTGATGGAGACTTGAAGTGACTGAGTTACTTCTTGGCACAAGTGTTCACCTACATGCAAATTTATGGGAGAACACTGCCTACTGATGTTGAGAAAGTTCAAGTGGTCACTTGGTGCTAGAAAGGGGAACAGCTGACTGGATGGTGACCCTGTATAATTGCAACACACCTGAATTGAGAAATTTCAGCCATTTTATGGCTGCCCTCCACAGACACTTCGAAGACCGGCTGGCTGATAAGAAAGCCCGGGAGCAGATTAAGACAGTGAAGCAAGGAAGGAGACCAGTCGCTGAGTACACCGAGGAGTTCACAGAGTTGGCCAATCACCTGCGTTGGCCAGAGGACATCCTGGTAAGCTGTTTCCAGGATGGACTCAATGAAGAGCTGTACAATGCCTGCGGAGTCCCTCGGTGGCTATACAACTGGTGCCTTCTGGCTGAGGAAGTGGAGATCAATCAACGCAAGCATCAGCACCACCCGTGAGATCAAGCTTCAAGCCACAGACCAAGAAGCAGGGGGAGACCTCCCGATCTTCACCTGCCCCGCCTCACAGCACCGCCTGCTTCAAGTGTGGCAAGGAAGGACATCGAGCTGTGGATTGCTGCAGCAAAACACCTGCCAAGAGAGGGGATCGTCTGCTGGCTGAGAGACTCTGAGAACCCCATCATGCCCAAGGGAGACTGCTATGAGATCTAAGGAAACTGTAGAGCTCCCCTGAGATCGCAATCGAGAGGGTCGCGCTTACACATTGGCCTGGGTGGCCACACAGAGACTTTAGTATTTATTGTGGCTCCGGGTATGGAGTGGCTGGGGCTGGCTTGGCTAAAGAAATGGAACCCCATGATCAACTGGAGGGAAGGACAGCTAAGATTCCCACAGGGGGGAGCCCTGCCCGTCCCTAAAGAAACTGGCAGGAGATGTGGATTACATCATGATTTTGCCTTTGCCCTCAATGAGTCAGACTTGCAAAGCCTCCCAATGGACTACAGAGATTTAGCTGAGGCATTCAGCAAGCAGAGGGCAGATGAACTCCCCCCTCACCGACCCACAGACTGTGCTATTGAGATCATTTCAGGGGCGAAATTACCAAAGCCAAAAATGTACTCGATGACCCAGGGAGCTAACCGAACTGGAAAAATTTATCAAAAAGAACTTATAGCGGGGTTTTATTGAGCCAGCCAGACCTCGGGTGGCAGCACCTGTTCTATTCAGACAAAAGAAAGATGGCTCTCTTCGTCTCTGCATTGATTATAGAGCCCTAAACGCGGTTTGTGTGGAAAACATGTATCCATTACCTTTAATGAAGGACAAGCCAGTGCACCTATTGAAAGGAATTTTTTTTAAAAAACTGGACTTGAGAGAGGCTTATTACCACAAAGAATAAGAAAGGTGTTGAGTGGAAAACTGCTTTCAATTGCCCATTGGGTTGCTACCAGTTTAAAGTTCTCCCGTTTGGATTATTTATTTATTTATTTATTTATTAATTTAATTTATACCCCGCCCTTCTCCTCATGGGACTCAGGGCGGCTAACAGCCTCATAAAAACTACAATACAAATACAATAATTAAAAGCCGAATTAAAAAGAAATATTTAAACAGGCCGATCATTAAAATTATCCTTAAAAATCCCCTAAAAAACCCCGCTAAAATTCCCTANTTTAGGGCGCGGCGGAAGGAGGGGAGATCCGGAATCACCCGGATCTCTGGGGGTAGTTCGTTCCAGAGGGTGGGAGCTCCCACCGAGAAGGCCCTCCCCCTGGGGGTCGCCAGCCGGCACTGTCTGGCTGACGGCACCCTGAGGAGACCCACTCTGTGGGAGCGTACCGGCCGATGGGAGGTAACCTGCGGCAGAAGGCAGTCTCGGAGATATCCAGGTCCGATGCCATGGATTACAAGGGGCTCCTGCAGTGTTCATGTAGCTTATCAACGAAGTCCTATGTGATCATTTGTATAAGGGGGGTTTGGTTTATCTGGACCAGCGGTTCTCAACCTATGGGTCGCGACCCCATTTGGGGTCGATCGACCATTTCACGGGGGTTGCCAAGCAAGGCTGTCCGCCATTTTTTCCCCCTTTTCCGGCAGGTGCCTTACCTCCCTTGGGCTGGGCCAGCTGGTGGTCGGCCTGCTCCGTCTCTGCCGCTTGCCAGCTACGCCTCGGCCGGCACAGGGGGCGGAACCACACATGCGCGGCGCTCCCGGGCAGGGGAAGTCCTCGACTTACGACCTGTTGGGTAGTCTTCAACTTACGACCGGTTTAGTCCTCGACTTACGACCGGTTTAGTCCTCGACTTACGACCGGTTTAGTCCTCGACTTACGACCGGTTGGGGGTCACGGCATTAAAAAGGTTGAGAACCACTGATCTGGACAATATCCTTATTTATACCGAGACCAAAGATGAACACATTAAACTGGTCAGAGCAGTACTGAAAAAACTGTGCTCTGCTAAAC